CACCCACTCATCTATCCACCCACCCACTCATCCACCCACCCACTCACCTATCCACCCACCTACCTATCCACTCACCCACTCACCTATCCACTCACCCAGTCATCCACACGTCCACCCCCTCTATCCATTCATTATTCATTCTTTCTTTCTTTAAGAACACCACCCTAGGCTGCCATCTACCCCCCATACACATGACACATGCACCCACCCAGGCCACATGGAAAAGAACAACAACAAAACACCCTGAAAATTTCAGAACCTGGAGCCCACTTGGAGTTATCTAGCACCCCCTGGTGGTGGACATGAGTATCTCTTTCCTGTCTCATTCCCACTTCAAAGCATCAGGCTTACTGAGGCAAACCTTGCTTATGACATATGTATGTATGTATGTATGTATGTATGTATGTATGTATGTATGCATATGACACACACATATGTATGTGTCTGTGTATGAGAGACAGAAAGAGAAAGAGAGAAAAGACAAACAGTAAAAGCTTGATAACTACAGTGCTTATTTTATTTCTTGCTAAATGTATGGAATTTTGTATATTAACTTATTTACTTGGGATCAGAAATGATTAACTCCCAATAAGTATTCTAACTCTCAGCTGGTTTGTAGTTGAGTTTTTACTGCATTTCTCTGGGGGTTTTAGTGTGTGTGTGTGCGCGCGTGCGTGCGTGTGTGCGTGCGTGTGTGTGTGTGATGCTAGGGTCTCCAGCATGCTAAGCAGTCAACAGACTGAGCTACGTAAGCAGCTCCAGAAAGCATCAGTTCTTCTAATAAAAACCTTGCTGCTAGAACAGAAGGACTGAGCCATCTCGTTTCTTTCCAACAGAGATAGAAAATCAGGTCCAGAAAGAGTTGTGACACACCTCAAGATCACACAAATCAGGGGATGGGAGAGAAAAGGAAAGAAGTCTAGACTAGGCATCTCCGAACCACAGGTCAGTCCTCTGGTGCTGACTGGTTGACATTTCCTCCTTTTCTGATTCGCTAGAGATCCAGGTTGAACCAAACAAGCCAATCAAATGCAGCCTGGGACTCTAGAAGAGCCAATAGCTCCACAGAGGGGTTAAGACTCTAATTATGACACCAGAAGACCTCTCCCCACCCCCATCTCTTGGCCCCTTGCCCCTCTTCCAGGCCCAGTCCCTGAGCCTGGGTGGGGCCATCTCAACCTCCCTTACCAAGATAATCTGATGGGCATTGCCAGCTCCTATTCAGGGCCCTATCCAGCCCCCTCCCCCCACCCCGGCCGGTTACTCAAACCGGAAACCTGGAATGGCAGGTTCCCATCAGATCTCCTGACCAGGCCAACAGGATGCGTCTGTGTTCTGGGGACAATGAGTCCGAGGGCGGGTGACAATGAGTGGGTGACCTACAGGCAAAGCCCCTCCCGCACAGTCCTTGCTCTTCCCTGTCCAACTGCCGGGTTCCCTATAAGCAACACTAACAAGGAAGCAGAGGGAAAGTGGCGAGGAATGTTCCGGAAGCTAACAGATGCACTTTCTCATGTGTGTAGAGAGGGTGGACTGCCCCCAACAAACACACTGGCCCATGGGACCTGTTGGCAGACATGAATAAATCAGGCAGTCAAATCACAGGACAACAGCAGTGCATGCAGGCACGTGAGGACTGGACCTCATCTCTTCCTTGTTAGGGGAAGCTTGGTCTTCGCTGTTCAGCATCACAGCAACCGTTCAGCCCACCTTCCCCAAACCTCAGTGGGACACAGTGATGGTCCACATTCCTATTCATAAGTACACGGTAACCTTCAGGACCAAAGGTGACTAAGACCAAGCTGTCATGTGCGCATGACAGACTGCCAGGAGCTGGTGCATGGTCTCAGACCCAGCTGAAGGCTTCTAGGAGGCCAGCAGTCAGTGAGGATGTGCTGTTGGAAGGTGCTGGGCTCCTGGGTACCTGGAGAGTACTCATGCACTTTTATTTGGGCTTTCAGCTACAATGGCAATCATCCTCAGGAGTGACTGCAGCTCCTATCCAGATAGGCAAGGTGGGGACATGGGTGTGTGTCAGGGATCCTCAATATCAAGAGGTAGAAAAGGCCCTTAGAATCTACAGCTAAGTTCTCAGGGGCTCCAGAAGCCATGGGGTCCTTTATCCTCCAGCCTTTCTGCCTGCTCTACCCAGGTCCCCTACCCTTGGCCAGCATGTGTCACTTTGAACCAGCCCCATGGCTGCCCATCACTCAAGCAGTCGTGGTTTGAATTTTCTTCAAAACCACCTGTTGGCATCTGCAGCAATTGTCTGTTTGTAAGAATGCAGTTGTTCCTAAGAAGCTTGCCCACACACATCCTTGTATGAAACACTTAGTGCCCTGTCCTTGGTGTGAGAATGGGGCTGAGTCAGCACAGACAGCAGGCCCACCACACACAGCCATACCAGAATCCCTACTTTCTAGGTCTCCAGTCTAGGCTTGGTCTTGCCATGACTCCCCAGGACCAGCTGCCCCGTGACCCCCTGTGGGTCAGACATTGAATCAGGCGTCATCCACCGCTAGATCTCTGCAAGGCAGCAGGTGGCATTGCCAGATACCCGTGACTCCCAGCCTCCCAGCCCTGCATCTACATTCTAGCTCAGCCATCACTCACTGTGGCCCCTGGCCCTACCCTGACCTCAAGCTTCTCATCTGTAAAAGAAGGGTGCCCTGGACATCACCACTGCCCCAGTTAGGGCTTCAAAAAGTCACCTCCACCAGAGACTCCAGGCTGTCTCCATGAAAACAGCCAGTTCTCTCTGTCACCCTCAGTGCCGTAGCACTCTCCAGTGTGGGTCTTCTCTTTTTCCCCTCCCTTCTTTCTCTTATTTTTCTCTTTCCCCTTCCCTATTCCATCTCTCCTGTCTTCCCTCTCTCTACTCTGTCCTCTCTCCCTATCCCTCTGTTTCTGCCTCTCTGTATTCTCCCCCAACCTCTGTCCTTCTTTGTCTCCAACTCTCCCCCTTTCCCATCTGGCTATTTTTTAGGGGGGGTCACATATTTAATGCCTACGCTCTAAAAAGAACCACAGCTCCCTCAGGGGAAGGAAGGGACTCTGCTCCGCTGGCCTGGTGTCCCAGTACCAACTGCTACAGTAGAGTTCCTCAAAGTTGGCAATGAATGACTCCATCCGGTCCTGCTTCCTGTCTGGGCTATTATTACGACACTCCAGAGAGAACATGTGGCTGGGGCCCTTAGCAAAACATTATATAATTCTCCCGAGAGAAGGTGTCCCTTATAGAGCTACCTATGAACTCCCAGAACAGGTATTAGGGACATCAATGTATGTGTACTCATCCACACGCTGGAGTGACCCCGCCTCCAGGGCCAACCAAGAACAGCATGTGTCTTCTTTACACGGGGGCCTGATCTCCTACAGCCACGTCACAACAGAATGTGTTCTGCTAGAGACTGTCTAACTGACATCCCAACCTGTGGGCACCACCATACCCATGGCACTGCAGGCTAAATCCCCATGCTAGGTACGCCCTCAATTAAGTAGATGTCTACCCCTTCAGAGTGCACAAGGCCAGTATCCACCATAAGGAATGCACACACTGGACCTGGAGTCCAGGCACCCACCTCCTCTGGGATGGCTGGCCAATGGGCACAATCTTGTCCTCATAGAATCTCTTCATTGCAAACCGGTCCAGAGCCTGGTCAGCACTGTGAGGAGACATGAGACAGTCAGAGAAGCCTATTCCTACACCCAAGGGCCTCTTGTCCCCTCCCTCAGACACCCCAGGCTTGCACAGCCCCTCGGCCAATCCTGGTCACTGTGGAAGGACAAACCTCTCCTCCAAACATGCTACACTGAGAAGCCTTCAGGAAAAGCATCTCAAGCATCGACAATCTGCATGGCACAGCACTCGGCCAGGGCTTCTACAGCCTGGCGGCCTGGGCACCTATCTCTAGGCTGCTACTAATTAGCTCTGGAGACATAATCCTTTCCATCCAACCTCATCCCCTTCTTCAAATGAGGCTTAAAGGAGATTGGATGAGGTGACACCCATTAAGAGCTTGGCATCCATGGTACATATGTGTCCACTCAGCAGACACAAGGCTGGGCTGGTTTCTGTGACCCACCACACAGCATACAGAGATAATTCTGGCATTCCAATAACTTTCAATCCTATTTAGAGTAGACGCAAAGTCCTCACTAAGGCCAGCAAGGTCATTGCTCTCTGTTACCTGACTGTCCCCAAGCCTTCTCTGACTCTACATTCACCAGTACTTTTTCCCCACAGCTCCTCTCTAAGACCTACAGAAATCCTTAGGTCTTTAGAGCCACAGCTCCCCTGGACACATGCCCCCAGTCACTTCTGGTCTCTATGTTTTCATAGCCACAACCATGGGCACTGCTGAGGGACTTGATTGGTATTTGAAGTCCTCCAGGGCAAGACATGAGCTGTAACCTCTACATTCTTCCAAGCACCATTCTAACATGGTCCTGGACACAGCAGCCTCTGGGTAGCTATGCTAGATAAACAAGCCTTCAGCTTCTGTGCTGAATGGGGTCAGAACGGAATCTACATACTGGCTAGTTCCTGTTCTTTCTCCCAAACACCCAGGCAAAAAAGACAGCCCCACAGGCTTGAGGTAACTTCCAGATTGTCCCCTAGGCCCAATTCTGATGTAATATCTCTTTCTGACTCCTTCCTGGATCATCGAGGGGAACAGAAGGCAATTGAGGGAGAATGAATAGCCCAAAGCCGCTGGGTGGGTATCTTCCGCAGGGGAGAAGGCACTCCCTGTATTCAGATGTTTTCATCCTGCCTCAGAGCTGGGAGCTCCTGCACCTCTCATCCATCCTGGCCCTCCATCTAAGGGCAGCTCTTTGCCTCAGGAAGGTAGAGACCATGCAGGTAGGAAAGGGGTGTCCCCACATCAATGTCCAGGTCAGCTAGGATAAAAGACAGCTGATCTCTCACCTGGCTGAAATGTTGCTGTAGTGCAGATATGCTGCAATGACAACCCCAATCCTGCCTCGGTTTCCCTGAAAGAGGCAAAAAGCAATCACTGGTCAAACAGGCTCTGCTGTTAAAAGTCCACCCAGAAGCCTGGGGGCCAAGGGTAGCGGAGAAGGGTGCTGTTCTGGAGAAAGAGTAACATTGGAGAGGGAGGCAGGAGGATGGGAATCAGAAAAGCCAGTGCACCCTCCACTGTTAGGAACATAAGTCACTGCCCTGTCCCCATTTGTTGGAGGTAATACTCTTGAGCAGAAGCTATCATGTTCTAGAATGAAAAACACAAATGGGTGTGTGAGCACAATCACGTAATTGGAATACCCAAGCAGGTGTGCACACGCAGTTGTACACACACAGGTACGTGCCCACGTGGACAGCCCCGGCTCTAACCTTGTTGTGGAGAACGACGACATTGTGGGGGTCTGCATTGAGCCAGGTGTCCATGGCCTTACAGACACTGCAGATCTTCTCCAGGGCTGGCGTGTGCAGGTCAGGCCAGCCAAATTCCAGGACCTGTGATTAAGTAAGACATAAGTAAGAAAAGGAAAGCCTAGAGACTCCATCAAGCCGGCCAGCACAATGTGGGAACCAGCAGCCAGGCCTCTGCTCCTGTCCTGCCCACCAGTCCTGCTGAGAGCAGAGGCTTAAAGAGCAAAGGCTATGACCTGGGACCCAGGATCAAAGTAGGGTCTGAGGGAAGTCATCTCCCTTTCCCAGAGCTATTCTCCTCACAGGGGTGTGCCAAGGCCTGAGCCCAGCCCTTCAGCTTCCCTTCAGAACCCTCAGTTCAAGGCTGACAGGGTGTCAGAGGAAGGAAAGGGTCCTGTGACGCTCACGGCCCTTTGGATATACAGACTGCCCATTCCCAGGCCTCTGAGAGAAGTCTGAAGTGTGCAGAAGCAGAACTTCTCAGTGGCCTTCAGCCCTCAAGGCCTCCTCGAGCCCTCTCTAATTTCACAAAACACTAAATGAAAAGAGCTGCTATTTGGCAGGATCCACAGAACATGCCTAAGCCAGCTGTCCACTTTCGGAGACATGATCTGAGGTCCAGAGCAGTCTGTTGCTTGCTTAACATTCCATAATGACAGGCACCAGAATCCAAAATAGAAGCCAAAGTCCCCAGCAAAGTCTCTAAAAACCCACTTAGTAAGCAAAGTAAACCCTGGAGACAGGCACATATAGAAAAGACATAACCCCAGCCCCACTCCCAGAAACCCTGTATATACCCTCCCCAGGGCAGATGAGGTCAGAAACCACTGTGTGAAATTTCACACAGTGAAAATTGGTTGGTACTGTAGTCCATTTTGCATATCCAAGATGCCCTTGAACTTGGAACTGTCATGGCACTACACAAGAAGGGATATGTTCTCTCTTCCACTAGCCCAGGCTAGGCCAGGCCTATTCTTCCCAAAACAGCCACAGACTCACCTTAGCATGGAGCTTTGTGATGTCAGGCCTCTGCTCAGAGAGGTTGAATAGCTAGAAAGAGACAAAGGGAGAGACCAGGAAGAATGAGGGAGTGGAAGTTGGAACAGGGAGTTTGTCCCTGGTTGTCAGGAGCCCAACCACAGGCCAGCCATGAGCTCTTAGACTCCTTATACCCGCTGTCACTCTCTCCCCTAACAAAAATTTCCACCACAAATGCATGTTAGCCAATAGGATCAGCAGTGAGTTCTCAGGAAAGGTGGAGGCTACCACACTCAGCCAGGCCCCTTGCAAGTGAACATCCTGAACTTGGGATGGAGCCCTGCCCGCTGGTGCTGAGTGATAGTGGGCATTCCATCTCTGACTCTAGGATCGAATCCCCCAACAAGACTGCTTCTTGGTCTTCTACCACATGGAGTGTACTCACATCCCACAGACTACACTGTCTCCCACGTTCCTTGACCCCCTAAAGGGCTGAGTAGAATTCCCTGCAATTGCCTGCCTCTATCAAGTTTGACCACAAGTTTGATAATCGCTGTCATATACCAGGAGGAGAGGGGACAGATTCTCTGGGCGTGAAGAGGAGGCTGTGGCAGAACACAGACATCCTAGAACTCTGCATTCCTGAAGCCAAAGGAGTCCAGATACTCCCAGTACCATTAAAAAACACACTTAAATGACAATAACAATGTCACAGAGCTGGCTTCACTCCCTCAGCAAGCCCCATTTTTGCAGATAGGAAAACTAATGGCCAAGACCATACATTCGGCTATCACAGAGGCAGGACTTTCTGGTATTTAAAGCCAGGCACTTCACAGTGCTCAGCACAGATGATGGATGGACTGCCACAGAGGCCTTCAACATGCATGCCCACTCAGAACTACAGAATCTGCCTCCTTTGGAAGTAGTTAAGGACCTTGTTAGGAGACACTCTTGGATGCAGGGTGAGCCTAAGGCTAACAACTGATTTCCTTATAACCAGAAGGTGGAGGCAGCAAATAAAGCCATGTGGCCACAAGCCAGGGAATGCTTGGGAGAGGCCAGGAGTGAGAAAGAGGGACAGAAGGCAGTTTCTCCAGGACTCAGGGGAGCATGGCCTCCCTGACACCCAGATGCCCAGCCTTCAGAACACATTCCTGTCATTTTAAGCCAAACAGTGTGTGGCCATTTGTTCCAGCAACCCCAGCACCCTTGTGCAACCTCCTCACCCCACCTCTGTCAAACAGGGCAGACAGCACCCAGGGGCTCATGGCCAGCAGTCCAGCCCCACATGACTTCCTTGAGCAAGAACCTGAGCCTCCCTCCAGGGATAGCTTCCTGCTGTAGAAGAAATCTCTGTCACCCACCTCCCTAATATCAGGTAACTCTAGCCAGCCACAGGACTCCCAAAACTACACATGGTCAAGTCCGCTCCAGGGCTTCCACCAGAAGCAGCTTCACCACACTGACTTCAGCCGTCTCTCTCCAGGGAAAGAGGCCATCAGAGGACCAGATTTGTTGTGAAGGCTCAGCAACGTGAACCTGTGTCCTTATTCTCTTCTAGTCAGCCCACTGACACATTCACACATTCTCACAATCACACACACACTGACACACATGCACTCACAAGTGGTCACACATTTTCACACTCAGATAACACACACTTGGCTCCACTCAACTGCACATGCTCTCCTGAGAATCAACTCTCTCTGAGATAGAGTGAAGCCCTGGGCCTTGCAGGATGCCCATGGTAAGGCAGGGAAGGGTGTTGGCATGGAGAGTGGGCAGAGACTCTCAGTGTACAGGAAGTGAGCAAGAGGAAGGGAGAGGCCCACCCACCAGGTAGTTGCCCCCATGCTTAGATTTCAGCATCTGAGCCACTTCACGGAGATTGCTGCGGAAGTTCTCCTCATTAGCTGTGCTGGGGAAGGACACGGCGATGATGCGTTCGGTAACATATACCAGGTCCAGCTCACAACTGTCGTCCATGGCTCGGCTCACGCTCATGTTTCTAGAGAGACTGAGTAGAGGATGGGTCCAGGTCAGAACCCAGGAATCCAACACCATCTCTAATGCCCAGTTAGCTAAATAGAAGTATCTATAAGGATCTTGATATGGAAAGACTGAATAGGATGGTGCTCCCCAGGGAGCCTGGAGCAGAGCCCTGGCCACCTCCATGCACTCAGGCTGAGAAGACCGGAGGCCTCCCTGGGGAAGGGGGCAGCTCAGGTGATATGCTCACATGGGTGGAGCTGAGCCAGAGCCCAAGAACATTCCAGCCTCCCTAAGGCAGGCTGACACCCCGCAACCCCCACGCTCTGGTCCCAGCTCCCCCTGCAGAGATCGTTCTTGGCCCAGGTCTCCCTCATTCCTAAAGGCCAGACAAGTAAGAGAGTGCTGGATGATTGCTGCAGTGGTGGCAAAGGCAGGACACACTGGGGAGCACCCAGGCTAGCAGCTGTCTCTCCCCTGGACACAGGTGAGGGAAGCAAGGCCCTCACAGCTTCACACATCTGCTTTTCTAACAGAAGAGGGGTCTGTGTTGCCTGCTGGGACAGCTCTTCTCCATCCTCCTCGTTCCAATACTCAATACCACATCTTCCCTCCCCATCCGAGATGTACTCCTCCCACGAGGAGTGGACAACACTTCTCATTTCGATAACCTTCACTATACTATAGCAGTATGGGGGTGAGGCTGGAGAGAGTTAAAAGTAGCAGATTCTCTGATGTGGTGACAAAAAGTCCAGGGACATGAAGGAACTTAGAAATATCTAGATTCCACCAGGGTTGACATGGTCCTAGATGGGCATAGAGAGAAGGCAGCCAAGGACAATCTTCTCTGATGAAATGACAGGGGTAGCTGCCCAGTTTAGAGTTGGACTTGAATTCAAATCACTCCTGCCCCTCTTGTATCTCAGCAGCAGCTAAGCTAGAGCTCTGACTACTGGTCTACCCAGGAGCCAGAAGCCGCATGCACATTTACCCCAAACGTTGATACAAAGTAGCCTGAGTACCCTCCACCCTCCATAGTCCTTTGTTCCCGGCTCTAAAGGTCCTGCATCCTCCTCAGGAAACTCATAAACAGCCCATTCCTTTCTAGCCTTTCCCTCCTGGGGTGGTGACCAGCCAGCTCCACTGTCAGGATGGTTTCCAAAAAAGATACAAAGGCACAACAGTGCCACCAGCTGGACAAGACTGGCATCACAGTTCCAAGTGGACCAAGCTGTGGAAGGGATGGGGTTGGGGGTTGGGGGTGGGGGTGGGGGTAAAAGACAACCTCAATCTATAGGAGTTGTAGGCAGAAACCATGGCTGGCACCCTTACACATTTTGTGAGGCTCAGAGTGAAGGTAAGGAAGGAGGTGGGGTGTGGGCAAAGCCTGGAGTTCTCCTGAGTGTTCTTTTCCTGTGTGGCAAATGATACTCTACAAAGACCTCCCGCCATTAGAGACCCATCCACAAAGAGAACCAGCATGAGCCTTGATGGTGACCAGCCCTGAGGGCCACTTCTGAGCAGTAGATGACCTTGAACAAGTCTCTGCAGACACTAATCAACTCATTTGCCAATACACAGACCTTCAGTGCCATTACAAGGACTAATGAGCTAATGTGGGAAAATATAGAGTCCACCTCAATGTCTGGTTTGGATCTCACAATGATGAAGGCCAAGGGCCACCAACTGCGGGCCTCTCACTAGGGCTGCACAGCATCAGTCTCGGGATTCAGGATAGGTCTGAGAATGCCCATACCCCATCCCTTCCCCATGTGCCAAGTGTACCTGATAGGCTGTGGCTGTGGCTGTTTGCTTGGGGAAACTCTCATGGAGCCCTGGAAAAGAGAGAATGCACACTGTTACAAGAGATAGGGAGCACAGGAAGGGCAGAGCAGAGAGGAGCTAGGTCATGGCCACACACAGATCCTCCATGAGCAACTCTCCATCCATACCACCCTAATACCTCAACTCCCAGCCACAAAATCCCAAAAGTCAGAAGTACCTGCTGTGGGAAAGACTCAGACAGATGAAAGAGGTCATCTCTGATACAGAGACATACAGTCTCCTGAGTGGCTCCGCTGCTCTGGAGACATACTTACCAACAGTGGCTAGATTGGCAGAAACCCACCTTGCTCTAATTCATCAGGCATCATGATAGTAACCTCAACTAGAGGTCACAAACAGCAACTGTCTATGCTCCGGGAAAGCTAAGGGTATCTACGCTCGGGCCAGCTCTGAACCTGTGTCCTCTGTCACTACAGTCCCACGCTCCCCACTCCTCCAAAGCCACAACAGCAAGTCACTAGATCAATGGAAAGCTTTGAGACAGAGCATCAGGTGTGTAATTTATAAAGGGCATCCAGGGACCCATATTTCTAAGGATCTGTGTCTGTTATGCGGCTCACCTACGCCATGTCCAGGATGTTGATGGCATAAAATTAAGCGAACAGACAGACCCACATTGGTGACCCAAACTTTGCAGAGCAGCAGAGTGACTTTAAGACTTCGGCTCTAGGCTCCAGCATCCTGCTGGGCAGCCATGGGGACACTCAGGCCTCTGAACCTGGTAAAATGTCACCAGCATGTCGCAGTGAAACAGGGCAGCCCTCAATAGCTGGTACAGGAATTTTTAAAAATGCAGATGAGCCTCCTCACTCTGTGCCTGGCACTTGATCAATGGCAGCTGTCACTTTAGCTGTCACTTTAGCTGTCACTCTCCCATTAAGAAGAACTGAAAGAGAAATTCCTGGACGGAAAGGAACAACTGTCCACCCTCACAGGAAAAAAAGAAGACCTGCTTTGCTCTCCCTCAGCGGCCACCATCCACTCTAATGCATGTAGAATCGGGCACCCCAGTTCTGAATTCCTGAGCTCCACCGAGCCACCTTTCCTGGCCACCAAATGGCAGCCTCCTCTTGGGAAGCAGCAAGGCTAAAGTCTGCAAGGACAGAGACATAAGACAGTGGTGACTCACCCCTGAATCCCTAGGAGGTTGATGATGCAGCAGGACTCAAACTCTGACCTGGCCTTGGCCACAGAGCCTAAGTAGAGGGTGTTGCACCCACCATGCAGAGTGTGGGGCTCTGAGGTCCAGCTCTCCATGGAGTACAGAGTCAGGGCCCCTGGCTGCAGGAGGGCTGTGCACCCTGCCACTGTGGGGCTGCTCAGAGCTCAGCAGAACCCACAGTGCAAGGAGGAGCTAAACAATGCTGTCCGGAGGAATAATTCTCAGTCTCTCAGCATTTCTGGCCCTAGGACTCAGGGTTGCATGAGTCAGGCTAGGGCAGGGAAGGCGGGGACCAGGGGTGTTTGGTTTTCAAAACCCTAAACCAGTCTGTTCCAAAACTCCCCACCCCAAAGCACACAGAAAGCCAACACTTCATCTATCCCATTGCAATGGTCTCTGATGAGGAGGCCCTGACTCTCCTCAGGCCCTGGGCCTGGCTCCAAGCCCCAGGGCCACCCTGCTATAAATAGCCCCTGGGGTTTCATCTGCTATGGATCCACAGCCACTCTTGAAGGAAGCCACCACAGCTGCTTCGAACAACTGGAAGTCACATCTTAGCCAAAGCTCACGGTGCCGCCAAGATCAGGGCCAGGCACATGCAAGGAGCTGGAGGAAGACAATAGGCCAATTGAGCCAGGGCTGGCGAAGGAACTGGAGAGCCAAGCAGAGCTCTGAAGGCACAGGGTAAGGGATGCACAAGACCCAACGACCAGGTTTCCAGTCCAGTTCCCCACCACCCTCTGGCCAAGGTTATAACACTCCACATTCCTCACTCCCAACTGGATGATAAATACTTGGCCCAAACAGAGTCTGGCCCTGCTGCCTCCAGAGGTGTGATAAGAAAAGTCCAAACACTCTTTACAGCAGGGTGGCTGGGACAGAGATGCACAGGGGAAACTGCCCCGGGCAGGGGATAGGGACCAACAGCTGGACTGTCATCCCCTGATGAATCACAGGGCTGGACTGCCCTCATACCAACAGGGCTTCCTGTTTTCTGCAAGGTTTGGGGACACATGACCCTCGCCAGCAGAAAGCAAGCTGCACAGGGACTGTGGACTTGTCATGAGTTCAAGTGTTCAGTAAAGGGGCAGCCGGGAGCAAACACACCCCTCCTGTAGACTCCCTACAAGACAGCAGTTAGGTAAGCTGAGGCCTGCAGTCAGCTCTGTGCCCCTCACGGCGGGCATCCTCTCACTGGCTAACCATTCACTGTTGAACTGAGCTCTGGGCACCTGGGAGTAGAAGAAGAGAGGCCCAAGCCTCACCCTCATTCTGTACAGTGAAGATAACTGTCAACCCACCCGGTGAGAGGCACAGTAGCGTAGTCTCATGTGCTCATCAGTAAAATGGGTACAACACAGGGCTCTGACATCTCTTACCTGCCCCATTTAGAGTCCCTGGGGAAGGTTTATTTTTAAAAGGAAAATAAATTCTTGGCTTGCCTGTAATCCCATTCTTTTCCCCTCTAGGGAATCTCAAAACTCTTAACTTCCTAGTAACTCCTCCCAAGACAGACCAATAATAGAACTTTTGATCCAACTCCTTGAGCACCAAACAGAAGTCTCCCTTATTCTAATCTCGCAAACATGTCTCTCCTTTGCAGAAAGGCCTCCATGAAAGGGCATTCCACAGCCTCCCCCAAACAGCATCTTTCCTCACTGTCAAGATGGTCCCCCTTATATCTAACCCGAATCCTTCCTGCTGCAGGCACCAATTCCTTTTTCCTTGGTTCTCCCTGAAGGCAAGAACCAACCACAACTCAGACATTCCAGAGTAGCTCAGGCCAGTAGCCTGGGGCTCCTCTTTGCCACCTTCTGTTCCCCATGGCATATCCATGCAGCAAGAACAATGTGAAACGCTGGTCTCCAGTGGGCCTTGTTTGCAGCTAGAGGCTGGGAGAAATCCTGCCTGCCTTCCAGGTCCATGAGCAAACAAAACACCTCTGGACAGAGCAAAAAATAAAATAAAATAAAATAAACTGTTTCCTGAACCTAGGTCCCCAGAGCCCCAGCTGAGAGGTGGGTCTGCCAGTGAATACCAGGGGTCGAGAGAAGCAGCCAGAGCCCCGCCCTTCATTCCTGCATCTCCTAGGATTGAGGCCCCCACACAGGCCCTGCAGCCACACCCCCTTCCTCCCCCTCCCCCTTCCTGCCCACCACTTGGATTTTTCCAAAACAAAGTGCGACATAGCTCTCGCCTCTGCAGCCTCCACTGAACACCAGCTCCATTGGAGGAAGCTGCCTGGAGAGGCCAAGCAGGAAACACCTCACAAACAGGCTAGTACCCTGAGCAGCTCTCTCCTTCCCCCTGCCCAGAAGACAGCAGAGCCCCAGGCAGCCAGCGGACCATCCCTGCAGCCCTGGGTCACCCAACCTACAACAGATGTCTGGAAGCCTGACAGTGGGGTTTCCAGTCCTCTGTAGCAGCAGGCCTTTCTGGAATCTGCTCTCCTGTTTGCCTCCTTACCCTCCTTTAGTGAGACATTTTCTCCTCCTTCCTCCCACCAGACAAGGCACAGCCCTGACACATGACCACCTGCAGACTGTCTGATCCCACACCAAGTCATTTTTCCTAAAACCTAAAACAAGATGCCATCAAGGGGGCACCTCTTTCTTCCATAAGACCAAGGTCAAACATGCCCTTAGGGTCAATAGCTCGTCCAGATGTCTAACCTTACTCCTTCTGGCTTGGCTCTAGATTATGGACTCCATATGGCCCAGACTAGGGATGCAGGGGTCAGAAGTCCTGGAACATAATATAAACACACCCAGAACATTGTTACTAAAAGTAATGATTCAGAGGCTACCATTTTATCTCCAGGTCAGGGGTTAAGAGGCCTGTATGACACATATCCAGAAACATCCAAGGGCTATCTCAAGCTTCTGCTTCTTCATCTCTAACATGAAGCCACAGCATCTGCCATAAACCTTGTCAGGAAGCCATACAACCTCCCACCCTAGCTCCTGGTTCCTAAAAGAAATAATGGCAGGCAGGCAGGCCAATATTTACTGAGCACCCACCACAGTTGGGTGTGCCTCAAGCTAATTCATCCTTTGCAATAACACACACAAAACTAACTTCTCAAAAGCATCATGAACCTTATCCTGAGGACCAGTGAACAGGAATCCTCACGTACCTCCATAGCGCCTTCCCTCAACCTAGGAGTCCTTGCGGCCCCTAGACAGCTCCACTCCTTATTGCTGGGCCTATGGCGGCCCAGGATGGTACAGCAGTGTCGGTGGGCCACCCTCGGGAGCTGCTACAGCTCAGCCCCTCCCTGTGGGGCCCTCCCTACCAGAGGCCAGGCAGCTGTCAGATGATAGGGCCTCGTGCCATCAACAGCTCCCCCTGTGCCAACCGCCAAAACCACTCCCTGTTCCTCTCCAGGCCTGGAGTGGACGGAGGGGCCAGCATGGGGCACAGGACAGAAAAGACCTGAGGAGGGTGAAGGGTCTCCTGTGGGGCCTACCAGGGGTGTGTGGAGACAAGCCAATCCTCCAACAGAGATCAGAGACTCCTGCCTGCCCCTAGCTGAGTTCCTTCCGATTAAGAACTGTGTCCTCTGACTTCCCTTGTAAAACTGAAGACAACGTGAGCCAGGACCAGATAACCCCCTTTCTAGAGTCCTGAATCAAGCAGAAAAAGCCATACAGCAGTCACCATTTCCCACAGCCCCTAGCTCCAGGGAAGCACACCCGACATTGTCTCCAGGATCTAGGGTCATCTTAAAAGCCCAGGGCCCCTTCACCTCGGCCCTGCTTCTCATCCTTTCCAAGTGTGCCCTCCACCAAGCCTAGCTCTCAGATCAGCCTCTCTGCCGCTCCTCACCCAGTACTGTCATGGCACAGTGAGGAAGAAGACCAGGGCCAAGCCAGAGCCCAGCAAGTGACTTTGGGAGCCTTCCCTTTCCCCAGCACTATGCAGGGCATATCCACAAGGCAGGTCTGAGGGCATCCCCCTGTCTCATTCTCCCTGGCCCCTACCCTCCTCATACTCACGCCCTCCTCCAGGTTTTTCAGAACACTTCCACCTCGGCAGTCTCCTTCCCCCTGTAGGCAGAGGAGAGAATGTCAGAGAGAGGTGAGATGAACAGTAGAAGATTCCAGAATCCTACCTGCCAGGGTCAGGACAGAGGGCAAAAGCAGAAGGTTGAGGGGTGGGGGTGCTTGTGTTACTTGAATGCCTGTTTGTCCATTCAAAGGACCATCAGAGAGACATAAACCCTCTCCTTTGGGAACACCCCTGGAGGACACTTATCCATTTTGAAGATGAGAAGCTGAGGACCAGACAGGCTCTCCCTCACCTGAAATCTCACAGGAGAGCCTTTGCCTCCAGCACATGGTTTCAAGATGGCCTTTCCCATCAGACACCTCTTCCAGCCTCAGTTTCCCCACCACTGAGTGTCCCTCGCCCCAATTCTTCTCATTTTCTTCTTCCAGTCTGGAGAAAACTCTCTCTGCTCATGTAGTCCAGAAGATTGATGGGAAGTCTGGCCGGCTTTCTCACATTCTGCTTCTCCTTTACCCTCATGGTGTGTGTGTGTGTGTGTGTGTGTGTGTGTGTGTGTGTGTGTACATGTGTATGCAGACACACATGCATCTGGGTCACTTTTGCAAACCTGTATCCCTAAAGCAGACAGGCCCTGACCCTTCCTACCCTCTCAAGCAAGTTTGGCATTTGAGTCAGGGTCTCTCACTAACCTGGGACTTGTCAAACAGATGAGGCTAGCCAGCAAGACCCAAGGGTCCACCTGTCTCCACCTCCCCAGGACTACAGTTACAAGCATGTACCACCACACTGGGCTGCCATTTCCCAGGTGGTCTCTGGGGACTGGGCTCACATTCTCATGCTTGCGCAGGCACTCCCAAGACTGAGGGTTAGCAGGCCTCCTTCTTTTTTGTTTTTTCTTTTCTTTCTTTCTTTTTTTTTTTTTTTAAAAGGTCTTCTCAGTACATAGCCTAAGCTGACCTAAAACTGAGGGTAGCCCTCCTGCCCCAGCCTTTTGGATGCTAGGTTTACAGACCGGAGCCATTTAGCATATTACTTACAAATTTAATCACTGATCTCCTTCATAGCCCCGCCCTCTCCCTCTTGGTCAGCTTCACCCCTGCACCCCATGGTTGGACATAGGCTCCAAGGTCATCAGTACCCTCCTCCAAGATCCAAATCCTCTCCCATCTCCAAAGCTCCCCACAACCTCCTCCCAGCACCAGCCTCTTCAGTCTGCCTGGGTTGTCACTCACCACATCCACTACATTCTTGGGTACGCTCTCTGTGGTGATGGGCTAGGGACAAAGAGAAAATAATGTGAGTTTCACAGAGATGCTGGCACAGCCACCTTCTAGGCTGGTGGTCAGAATGGTAACAAGGGCACAATCCCAAGCTTCGAGACATCACTTGTCTGGTCCCAAGCCGGGGAAGCAGCATTTGTAAAATGAAACACAATCTTATTAGCAGTAGAGCCATCCAAGTTCTACCTGACCACAGTAGGTGCCCATCCAGGCCTCAGACCCCCGTCAATGGGGACAACAGGACAAAACACTCTTGCTCCATCTTCCCAGGGCTTTCACTTCCACTCTGTCTGTCTAGGGCAAGAACCCACAAAGGCAGGGAGTACCATGGCCTGTTAGCCCCAGAAAACGACGTAAGACACAATCAGAGGAGCCCAAAAGCATGGGCTCCTGAGATCAGAGCCTGGCAAATACTGCCCGAGTCCCAGCTCTCCAGTAACTTGCTGGCCTCACCCTTGGTACCTATGGTATACACACACACACACACACACACACACACACACACACGTGCGCGCGCACACACGCACATGCACAGAGATGCACGCATTCACTTGTGTGCGCGCACACACACATTTAAACACAGACATACACACACGCACTCGAACATGCACAAAGCACTCCCATGCTCACTGCACACCATGCCTTCTCCTTCTCCTTGGTAGGCTCCCTCCTCCAGGAAACTCTGACTATACCCCACGTGGTACCCCATTAGCCTTCCCATCCGTGCTTTCCTAAAGGAATGGTCTAACCTGGCCCTATACACTATGTTCATCCAACCACAGTTAATTTGGTAACTTAGGACTTGTTTTTATTATTTGAGTTATGTGCATATCCGTATATGTGGGTGTGGATTTGTTCACATTAGTGCAGGAACTCATATAGGCCGGAAGCATCAGATCTCTGGAACGGGGTTTACAGAGGACTGGAAGCCATTCCACAGTGCTGGGAACCGAACTCAGGTCTCCTGCATGAGCAACGCATGCTCTTACCTGCTAAGCCAGTTCTCCAACCCTGATTTTGGATTCTTGGCCTATCTTCAACCAAAGTAATCAGAGTGACAGTTTGATCAACTCAGTAGAAACTCCGTGCCAGGGACCATGGGAGGCCAGAAGTGGGCCACCTATAAACATGCATGGATAGACCATCCCAGCCATCCCGTCTCCACCTGAGTCAGCACCAGGTAACTCAAAAGTGTCCAGAAGAGTGCATGGTGAGGAACAGGAGTTTCCCAGGCCAGGCTCACCTCCCACTGTTTCTAGAGTTCTATGTGCCACTCCAGGAGTGGACTGTGACCACCTGAAAGGCTATTGGCACTGGGTGCCCCACCAACCTAGGACTTCTAAATGATCAATCACATGCTGCAGGGACCAAAAATGTGTATCTCCAACAGGGTCCTGGATGGCTCTAAGAGCAGACAGCCCAGCCCATGCCCTGACTGCTGTTAACTACATACAGGGTGACTGAAAACAGGTTGCCTGTCCTTGCTGCCCTCCTGCATGGCTGCCTAGTGGAATGCATGTTGGATAAGTACAATAAAGGCTCCCTCTGAAGAGGGCCTGGCTCCCAGCACAGGCTAGCCCTTAACAAAGACGTTCACCTCACCCTGACCTACTCAAACCCCTGTCAGCCTTCTCTGAGCCATAAGATTTAGTATAAAACTACAGGCCTCAGCAGAGCGGGAGAAACTCGCCCTTCCTGCCAGGGATCATCTGAGCACTGTCCCCTCTGCCCCCACCCCTTTCCCTTGCCAGCTGGAGGCCAGCCATGGGCAAGACTCACCAGCAGTCAGATGCCTTCAGCACACTGTCCCACATGTCTTCCAAGGAGCTAAAAATTTCCAAATGCCCAGACTGCCCTCCAGGGTTCACAGCCCCAGCCTAGCACGTATGCACCCCCTCTACTCTGTTCTCTAGAACTACCGCTACCAGCCTTCTACACCTGAGAACAGAAAAGTGCAGAGACTGGTCCCAGCTGGGCAGAGTCAGCTAAGGCTGCCCAAGCTCCCATGGCACAGTGGGGAAGCTCCTAGGGACCCACCAGGGAAGCTGGGGATTCAGAAGTAGCAGCTTCAGAGAACTGATTATACCACAAGTGCAAGCCCCCATGCAAACAGGCAGGCAGTCTCTCTCTATCTCTCTGTCTCTGCCTCTGTCTCTCTGTCTGTCTCTCACACACACATACACACACACACATTGACTTTTAGACTTAGAAAGAAAAAGGTGTTTATTTTTTTATGTATGTGTATACACCTGAGTGTACATGTGTACCATGTGTGTGCAAGTACCTGTGGAGGCCAGAAGAGGCCATCAGATCACCTAGACCACAGTAGGTGCCCATCACACACAGTAGGAGTTTCTGGTCACCTAATGTGGGTGCTAGAAACTGAACCCAGGTCTTCCACAAGAGCAGCAAGTGTTCTTACATGTTGAGCCATCTCTCCAATCCCTTCTTAGAGCACACTGTTGTGCAACACTCTTGATTTTATATTTACTAACATCCTGTAGAACCTGCCTCTCACTGAAATTTGAATAATGCCCATACTGAGCAGAGAACAGTGGCCAGCACACTGTGAGCCCTTGGGAAACATCTGTGGTGTGAACAGTCTCCTTGCTCTCTTCTCTGATAGCTTCCTATGCTCAGCACTGACTGACACCCAGCAGCAGCACAGCCCCATGGACATATAAAAGCCTTCACCTTCATCTTTGTTTAGTCTTAGGTAAGGACCTTTTGACACCGTATGTACACATGCATGCACACATGCATAGACACATGCACATGCATGCTACATCCTCACATGCTGCTCCAAGACAAGTACTAGAGGGCCTTGAAACTTCACCTCCTCCTGCACCCTGATCCACAGACAGGAACTGAGGTACAGACACGTAAGACCTGCCACCATCTTAAATAAATACCAGGTCAGCTCCAGGCCTGCAGAGCCTAATCCCACGTTCACTGTCCTGCCTCTCTCCTGCGGTCAGTTGGCATCTCAAAGTCAGCTACGGAGGCTGATTGACATGAAGTCTAAACAAGGACAATGCTGACCTCCCACAGTGTCCCTGCCAGGCCAGGTCTAGAAATTGAAGGTTGCACCCCACACACACCTGACTTGCATTCTGCACGGTATCCCTGTCCCCTGAGAGCCACTCCTCACATCTCTGCACCCTGGCTGCCTCCGCTGCCTCTCCCTACAGCAGCCACGATCCTGAGGCAGTTTTTCCCAAGGCTAAGGCAGGAACGACAGCTTTGACCTGCAACAGACTGGGGACCAGGCTCTGCTGCTGTCATTCCAGCCCTCAAGGTTCCTTGGAGAGTGACTGTGACTCATCTCACGGGGACACAACTGAACAGTGAAAGACTCTGCAGTGACCAGAAGTAGACAGCTGGCATTTGAACTCTGCCCCTTATAGCCTCACAGGCTCTCAGCTCTCGCTCATATATTCTCTCTCTCTCTCTCTCTCTCTCTCTCTCTCTCTCTCTCTCTCTCTCTCTCTCTCTCTCTCTCTCTGTGTGTGTGTGTGTGTGTGTGTGTGTGTATGTGTGCGTGCACACATGTGTGCATGTGTGTGCTGTGTTCGTGTGTGCTTGCCCTTGAGTGATCAGATGTGGAGACCAGAGATTGACATCATGTATCTTCCTCCGTCACCCTCCATCATATTTTGAGATGAGTGTCAATGAATATAGAGCTTACTACCCTGGCTGGCCAGCAAGCCCCAGGGCTCTCCCTGTCACTACAAAGTTCTGGGAATCCAGGCGAGCGTCACTGTGCCTAGTTTTACACGGTGCTGGGATTGAACTCAGGTCTCTGCTTGCACAGCCAGCACGTTTCCTACTGAGCCTTCTTCTTAGCTCCATTCAGCAGAGGACACACTTTTGGAGCCTCAAAGGCTGGCTACAGCAGAGCCTTACCTACGGCCACCAGCAGGAACAGACTTCTTTCCTGTACTTCCCTGGGAAGGCTGGGGAATGGACCACAGTGGGAGAGGCTACTATCAGACAGCAGAGAACTTCCTGAATTTGCTGTGAACCACAGGGTGGGTAAGGAAGCTGCATATCCTTTCTTCAATGTTTCCCCCGAAACAGACACACATGCCTTTCCCTCTCTGTGCACATGCTACCCCTCCCTGCTGACTAAGTGAAGAAGAGCATGTCCTGGAAGATAGGGAGGCTGGCCCACCTGCCTGGGGACCATGCAGTAGAATGAATTGGTGGCCTGCAGGGAGGCTAGGTTGGGGGAGGGAAAAAATGTATCTGTGGGCTGCTGTTCAGAGGAAGGAAAGGCTGGGGCTTGGGGATGCCCCAGCCTGAGCCCAGGGCTCGGGGGCAAGAGGGAGGGTGCAGAATGCAGAGTCAGCCTCCAGAGGAACATTCTGTCCAGAACTCTTCAAACCCTCAGCTCTAGCCTGCCAGATCTCTCTGCCCTTGTCCCAAGGGAAGTCTGGAGTCTGGGCAGTTCGGAGCCAAAAAGACCCCGTGACATCACATCTACCACCACATTGACGATCTGTGAGGTCACCCAGCACTACCTATCTTGGAGGGGGAAGGGCCTGGGAGGCAGAGGGGCCAACCAGAAAAAACTGGAATTGCTCAGACACCAAATACAGGGAAGGCTATTCTGGGCTCACTTTTTCCCAAAATAGAACCATAAGTAGATATGGGGTTGGGTACAGGGAGGCAGAGCGACAAGGGATAGCATTTGGGGACATTTAGCCAAGTATGACAATGGGCTGCATACTGGAGGCATGGCCTCATAACACCCCCATAAAGGCATCCTCTCAGCAGAAACAATAACAACAGCAACCTATGGGCAGTAGCAGTAGCAGAGAAAGCCAGAGACCTCACTTTAAAACCTTGCTTTGGGTCAACTGCCTGCCCAGGCCTCCAGAGCCATCATTCCACATCAAGGTCTTAGGGGCTGGAGAAGGCTCTTCTTCTGGCTCCTCTTCTGGCAATTTCCAGGAGGGTGCTCATTTCTATGTGAGCCCAGGTCAGCCCTC